CATTTTGTAAGCGAAAAATGTGTTGTGACCATTCTCTTCAATTTTGTTTTAGTGTGAAGAAAAAAAGAAACTGTTAAAGGCCTATACTGCACTACTTATAGTTACTTGCGCCCTCTATGTAGCAAATAATGCCTAATCGGTGACGATTGGTCCCCCATGATCCTCTTTTTTGTATGTTAAGTGAGAGCTGATTTGATGAGATAACCACCTGCCAGTGACCTTGCAGGGTTAATCCCTCATTTTGATCTAAGTATTTTGTAAATGTGGTCACTTTAAATTATACCAGTTTGTACTACTTTTGTTATAAAAATACCAGAAAAATATTTTTAATACAGGAAAAATGTATTCAATTCTTAAAGAAGAACATTTTGAAGTTCGAACTTTGAAGTTCGGAATGTGTATGGAGTGTTATATTCAATGTATGTAAAATGTTTTTGTTTGTGCAATTGTGTATGTGACGGCTACTTAATTGTGATGGTGCATTTTCCCCTCTTAATTAGATTTGGAAAGAGCTAAACCAAGATGCTCGACTGTTGCTGGTAATTCAAACTCACATTTTGGAGGACCACGATTCGCCCACCCGTTGCCACAAACATGAACAGAATACAAATTACTGTGCACATGCTGCTTCTCAAGTGCTTGTGGTTAACACACAGAATGTATACATCACGTTTTACTTGAGTGTCTGCTTTAAAGATAAAGACCAGTTATGGTCATCAATTGCATTGTGAAATAAACGTTGTGAAATCGATCAGAAAAGGTTGATCATCTAGCATAGATGTACTGCAAGGTTCTGGAATCATCAAAATGATAAGAAATTTGACCCAGTCTTCATAAAGGTACAAGCACTGTACACAGAAAGATGTATATGGGATTACGCACACGTGCGCGACACATACATTTTTATCTCTCACACGATGATAGATTAACTAATTTACCAAATATATCAATTAGTAGGTGGTTCCCAGCAAAATTTGTATCATCATGTATTATTCAAAACATATTCTTTCACATGATTGGTAATAAGAGCCTCCATTTCATTTTTTTAAATGTGGGCGTTTCCAATACTGGTCTTTACCTTTGTTTAAAGGTAAAGACCAGTTATGGTCATGCGATTGCATTGTGAAAGAAACGTGGAATCGATCAGAAAAGGTTGATCATCTAGCATCTAGCATCTGCAAGGTTCTGGAATCATCAAAATGATAAGAAATTTGGCCCATTCTTCGTAAAGTTACAAGCACTATACACAGAAAGATGTATATGGGATTACCCTATATCTCTCACAGACCATGAGAGAAACAAATTTACCAAATATATGAATTAGTAGGCGGTTTCTCGGCAAATTTTTTATCATCATGTATTAGTCAAAACATATTCTTTCACATGATTGGTAATGAGAGCTTCCATTTCATTTTTTGAAATTGAGGCGTTTCCAATACTGGTCTTTACCTTTAACAATGTTAAATATGAGATGCATGGCCCTACATGTTATCAGTGTCTGTGATATGGTGTAAAATATTGAACCCTAAAAAAATTGCGCTTCAAAATGATCATGAAGCGACTCAAAAATCTTTGAGTGACCGGTTTTACCATACTGTAGTGTTATAAAAACCGTTAGGAAAACGTAAAATGAAATTTCGATTTCCAATCATAAATATTTTGATAAGAAGTCAAGCGATCGGCTTGTAAAAATCCCTGACTATATAACCTAAAGGTTTGTTATTCTTTATTCCTATCTACTTTTCTCATTCACTCCCTGTCATATACTGCCATTCTTTCACTCCTCTTTCCTGCCTTCTTTTAATATGGCTTTCTCCTCCTTGTCCATACAGTTTTTACTTTCTGTCTTTCTTCTTCTGTCTCTCTTTACCCCATCTTTCCGTATCCTTTTGCTGCTCCCCATGTAATTTCCCTATCTTTCTCATCTCTCTCTCTCTCTCTCTCCCTATTGCTATATGTTCACACAGGGCCTTTGTTATTATAACCTTTGTGTTTGTAAAACCTCAAAGTTTTGAACAATGACTAACTATTAACGATGCAGGTTTTCAACAGACGAAACAACTTGTCTACAAAAAAAATTTATAACACGCTGGGCAAGCAGTTATTGTTACTACAGGCTGGCAAAGAAAATTGAACTTAATAAACCATTTTCGTAATGTAATCAAATGTAATGCACGAATCTTTGATAAGTGCCTCTAAACAAATTATACATTGCATGTTGCTAGGTACAACAAGCCGTAATGTTTGTCCTACCTAGCAACAGTTAATGTATGTAATTTGCATTCTGACTATTGAAATACAATTATTGGCTTCAGTTGAATGAAATAATGTGTACATCCCAACAGCACATCATTTAGAATGAGGAACCTCTGCTGCTTACAGTTATTGTGTTAATTGTATTGATAAGATTACTTGTGGTTTATAACGTAGCATTTCAAAACCACCAGTGCATCTGCATGGTCCTGAAGTACAAGATAAGTTTAAAACCACAAGCTAAATGTAAATGTTGCCGAACTCTCATGCAAACCCACCTCTCTCTCTCTCTCTCTCTTGCTTTTTTTTCTCTCTCTCTCTCTGTCTTGCTCTTGCTCTTTCTCTTTCTGTCTATGTCTCTGTTTCTCTGTCTGTCCGTCTGTCTCTCTCTCTCTCTCTCTCTCTCTCTTTCTCTCTATCTCTCTCTCTCCTCTCTTTATCAGTCTCTGTCCCTTCCCCCTCTCTCTGTCCCTCCCTTTCTCTCTGTCTTCTTTTCTCTATCTGTCTCTTTCTCTCTCTCTCTCTCTCTTTCTCTCTCTCCCTCCCTCTCTTTCTTGCTACACTTCTTACTTGTATATATCTTTCTTACCATATTCATATCATAATCAACTTTCTCATCCCTATCTGGCCTCTTTGCTCCTCATTCCCTACCCCCATCAATGATTAGGCCTCCACTTTTCCCTTCAGTAAGTGCAGAGAAACTCTTTTCCTTCCCTTTCTCCTAATTACCCCCAACACAGTCTCCTGGAATAAATTATGTTCTTAATTGTCCTCAAAGGGCAAGTCCACTCCAAAAATAACTTGCTCTCAATAGAAGCAAAAAAGTCAGACAAACCAATCAAAAAAACTTTGAGCAAAATCGGATATCTAATAAGAAAGCTATGAATTTTTAATGACATGAAAAACTTTGAAAATCACAAGAAAAATTGGCAACTCGCTCACGAGTCTGTGACGTCATTGTTTCACTATCCACTCATTTTTTCTTTATATTGATAATATACAATTCCAATTCCCCCTATATGAATCTTAATTCCTCACACCAGCATCCAAGTTATATTAATAGTAATATGGTTTTGTGTGGATGCACTAATATAGAGTAATTATTTGTTCAGTTAGATCATTAAAAACTGAATTTTTATAAACTATTTATATCAAAATCAATGATTATGAATATATACAATATTCAGAAAATAGTATCAATTCTTTAAATTTCATGATACAAATCATATAACCTGGGCAAAGGCATGGGGCAATCAAGTTTTGGGGATAGCAAGAGAAATTAATGGGATAAAAATATATAAAGCAATTGATAAATAGTGAGGCAATGATGTCACAAACTGAAAACCAAATTGTGTAGTGATTTTTTAAGTTCCATAGTTATTTATACTTCAAAAAAAATGTGTAACTTCCTTATGAATTATCCGGTTTTACTCAAATTTTGTTTGCTCTGTTTTTCTTGTTTTTCTGCATCTATTAAAAGCAAATTATTTTTTGAGTGGACTTGCCCACTAAAAATAAACATGAGTTCTGGTAGATATAAAAAATATATTCTCTCTGAATCCAAAAAAACTTTATTCACTGAATGTTCAAGAGTACAAATAAATGACAATTGCCAAATAAGTTTGGTAGAAAATGTATAGTGGCTGAGTGATGAGCAAAGAAAGATAAGAAATTATGTGCGTTTGTTTTTATTTCACTGGTTCAAGGGTTTGCTGTTTGTGAGACTTTGTACTCCCATTATTATGGTATTTCCACCTAGACTGGTGTCAGCGAATTATGTCCTACTGCACATGAAAATGGACTCCCATCTCCCTTTAAATTCATCTCACCCTCTCTCTCTTAAAGACCGTCAATACTACTGGGCCAGAAGGGATTAGACCACACAGCGAGGTCACTGACAGGTGGCTATCTCATTAACTCAGCTCTCAACTAACATAAGAAAAAGAGGATCATGGGGGACCAACAGGCATCGATTGGGGAAGTTTCAATATAGAGGGATCAAGTAGCTACACGTAGGAAGTGGGGCTTTAATCTCTCCTCTTTCCCCCTCTTACCTTTATCCCTGATAACGATACCCTTAAGCTTTCCTCAGTGCATCTCTTCTTTAATTGATATTAAAACCCCACCAAAAACCATGGGAGCTCATAGACTATATCTCACAAATGCGCACACTCAAACCACTTCATCATGAGTATCTGTATAATACACATTTGGTAAAAACTCCCACACTGCTTTTCATCCCCTCTCCCTTCATTCCTCTCTCTCTCTCTCTCTCTCTCTCTCTACTTCATCAGAAGCACCTGTGTAATACACATTTGGTAAAAACTCGCACACTGCTTTTCATCCCCTCTCCCTCCATTCCTCCATTCCTCTCTCTCTCTCTCTCTCTCTCTCTCTCTCTTTCTCTATCTCTCTCTACTTCATCAGAAGCACCTGTATAATACACATTTGGTAAAAACTCCCACACTGCTTTTCATCCCCTCTCCCTTCATTCCTCTCTCTCTCTCTCTCCCTACTTCATCATGAGTATCTGTATAATACACATTTGGTAATAACTCGCACACTGTTTCTCATCCCCTCTCCCTCCATTCCTCTCTCTCTCTCTCTCTCTCTTTCTCTATCTTTCTCTATCTCTCTCTCTCTACTTCATCAGAAGCACCTGTATAATACACATTTGGTAAAAACTTGCACACTGTTTCTCATCCCCTCTCCATCCATTCCTCTCTCCCTCTCTCTCTCTCTCTCTCTCTCTCTCTATGCATCTTACTCACTCGCTTCCTACCATCACTGATATATTTCCCTCTCTTTCTCTTTTTCTCTTTCTCTCTCCCTCTCCATAATACTCACTTCGCTTCCAACCATCGCCGATATATTTCTCTCTCACTTGTATCATTATACGGAATTAACAGGTCTGGGCTCGTATCACGGCAACGGCGTGCCGCCTTGATTGCTTGGGGATTCTCTATCCCATTAAAATTTGCCTCGTTCATTGGTGTGCAGAATTTTTCATGGTTCAATTTTGTTCTCCCCGTCTCTCCATCGGTCAGCTCCGTGTGCGCAGAGTAGTAGGCTCAGTTTGCGTGTGATCTTGCTAAGGATAGCTCACATTATCGAGTGCCTCTATAGCTATAAACTGACTCTCAAAACGGACATAATATTTGACTGCTAGCTACTGGCATGTAAGTCCACTATCTCTCGAAGACTTGTTTATTTTTCTGTTGCACATTCATCTATACCCATTATTGACTAGTGTAAGGTTCATTGATAAACCGGGATACTTGTGTGTATGAGTAAGCGATAGGTTGAATGGCATTTAATGGGCATCTTTATGGCAGGCTTTAGGTGATCGGCTATTAAGTAAAGAAGTAATGGCTGCGCAGTATGTATCCTATAATCACAAATAAAATGTGAAGAGTGTTTATGATTGAGAGGATCTTTGCCCTGTTTTACATACCGCGGCTGTAAAGCATGGAGATAATCAGATATGTCTTTGCTAATGTGACTTAATTCATTTAATAGTACTTCTCCTCGTGTTGATATCGCACTAAATTCTGCAGTATATCCACAGTACAATATAGGAATCAACCTACACATGCAGACCTACAAAACGAGGGTGATGTTTTCTAGTTTCTGCATTTTTGCTCATTCAAGTTGCACAAATTCCTTAAAAGATGTGGTTATCATTTAACTGTAAAAATGTTACGACGTCAGTTGTTTACGTATTTGCATTGATTTGCTTTTTACTTAAAGTGATCTTTCCATTCTCAAGTACGTAGTACCATATATTTAAACATCAATTATGTACAGATGTCGATTTGTCCATATAGAAAATTTAAAAATGATGTAATGCTTTATTTTTTTAGCAATACTGGTAGTTCATCTGTTTTGCTATATGTTTTTTTATTTCCCATATTAAAGTTCTATAATTTTGTGAAAGTAAAGTATTTTTCAGAGTTTGTAATATTGTGCAAAATTTGATATTCTTATAATATGATTTCAAAATAACTTCATTCTATACATACATATATTACACATTAATAACAATTATAGCTTCTAGACATTTTGATTTTAAATAATCAGTTCCATCTTCAGTACAACTTTAAAGCTTTCTTTATTGATAAGTTGAAGATTTTTATAATGCACTCTATCTTTCGATACATTCTTTTCATTAAAATTAAAAAACTGAAAGAAACACTATTACTTTGTGTTTTAGATATGGCACATGTCCCTTTCCCTGTAATGTGATTTCTGTGCGTGTGCTCATATTTGACAAACCTGGAAAAAAAATTCTAAAAACCTCTTGCAAATATTCCTTTCTTTGTTAGCATGAATGAATAAAGTGGGAATGTAAATATCATGCGTGTGATAATGTGTCCCTAAATAGAAAGCTGTTGACAAGGTACATAGAGGAGAGAGTTTGTGAACATGTTGAACAAATAGGGGGAAGGCTGTAGGACCAAAACAACATGATGAAAAAGGTACAAGGGAATTAAGGATGAGATGATAGGAGGAAAGCAATAATTAGTGGAGAGATGGAGAGCGAGCTAAAATTTAAGAAGAAGTGAAAAAAAGAAATAGATGAATAGCAAATAGAAATAATACTTATGATGATAATAGTGATGGTGATGATGATGATGATGATGATGGTGGTAGTGATTAGAAGAAGGAAAATAAGAAGAAAAGGAAAAAGGAAGATGAAGAAGCGGAAGCAGGAAGATTACCAAATAAAATAAAATAAAAATAGAACAAAGGAGAAAGAATAAGAAGGAGAAGGATGGAGAGAGAAAAATTCTAAATATTGCAAAAAAATGAAAATAGTCCTTCTGCATGATATTCATGTAGTATAGTCTTCTCGCTGCTCAACCAAAACACAATTTACCACCCACAAAAATGCACTTGGAAAACATCCAGATATTTAACACAAACAGTGAGCACTAAGTCTTTCATAAATGAGTTATTTTTTTATGAAATTGAGGAGTGGAAATCTCACAAATGACAAACAAAATGTATCTCCCATGCGTTAGACATGTTAACAAATTGCTAACTTACATTTTGTAAACAGTGTTGTTCAACACTGATAAGATAAAGAGGACCCATTGCCTAATATATATTTATGTACAGCTCATATATGTATGTATAAAATTGACTCCATAAAAACACTGTAACACCCCAAAATAGCGAAAACAAAGGCATCCTGGCATACAAAAGAACACAGGTTGACAAATCTCATCAGCAATGCAGAGGTAGATCTTTTTTTCTGTTATAAATTAGAAAGAAATCCAAGTTGCTTAATCAATACCAACTGTTCCTGGGACTATCAATATGATTACCGTATAGATGGTCACTACAAAATCTCTGGTATCAGATCCACCCCTTAATTCCCTTCTGTAATTTTTTTTACAAATTCTACATTAATTTGTATGATGAATTTGAAAATGTCATTTTTTATTTTCTCTTTATATCAAAGGAAAGACAAAGATGGTGGATAGGTAATCATCATTTTTGTTTTGTTAAAGGGGACATTGAGGATATACAGTTTAAAGTGAACTATTCATATCCCTTGTGAAGTTTGATGTTTACTGTGTTTGTCATAACGCAGGAATAAAAGGTGGATTGGTTGAATTAGGGCCTTTGTTGAATACTTTAAGATATAAGCTTTGATATGTCATATTCTCAACAACAACAAATTACAAAACTTGGTAAGGGTATGAATTATGTTGTTTGTACATGTGGGGTTGTTAGTAAGCTTGGTTATGTGTATTCAAAGAAAATCAACATTCTGTTCATCAGTGCTGATTGTATTAGAAATTAATAGAGGTAATTGTAATTTTGTTTAGCTTGCATTTTCAAAAGATTGGTATTTTTAATCCTGCTTAATTTCCAGCTTAAGTACATGTAGCTTAGAAGACGCTTGCTTGAAAAACATACTTTTCTTCACACACAGGAAGATTCACATGAATAGGATATAGAGCTTGTAAATGCATACAAAATCATCACAAGGCTTAATGTTAGCTTACATTTTATTTAGATGTAAAAAAAGAACTACTGATTAACAAACATCACTGAATATTGTGCCTTTTTCGTTATGGCAGTGTATTTTTGTCTCACTACATTTCACTAAGGTACCTTGAATTATTTAAAGAATTTATTTTAAAGAGCAAATTATTCTTTAGAGGCATTTTTGTGCACATTGTCTGTTAAAAGGCACACAGGGTTTGATGTAACCTTCTCTCAAAAAGGATAAGAAAATGTTTCTGCCTCTCAAGAGTTTTTCAGAATTTTTCAGAGTTTGTTTTTTTATCTTTCAAAAGTTGAATCTGCGTCGGCTTCAACGTACGTATTTGTTTTTTACCGCCTTGTCCAATTATCCATGTTTAGCCTGTATGATCTAATGTAACTCGTTGCTACACGTATTAAGCTATGTGACATTTTCAAGAATGTTTCTCGTGAACGTCTTGTGCCGATTCATAACTAATTAAATTAATATATGCCCTCGTTGAGCTGCTTCATTTCACTTACAGTATTACGTCAATGTGAGGGATTCGGGCCTCGTCGCAAATATGAATTCGTTTGAGCTTATATACTCTAATGTTTTATGAAGGGAGGAGAGAGAGATGGAAAAAGAATAGAGGCAGTGATGCAGATAGAAGAAATAGAAGTGAGAGGGGGAAGCAGTAAAACAAAAATGTATATATTTTTTTGTATTATATTTTGTATTCTATCGTTTATTACGTCAATGTGAGGGATTCGGGTGCAGTCGCAAATATGAATTCGTTTGAGCTTATATACTCTAATATTTTATGAAGGTATGGGAGAGAGATGGATAGAGAATGGATGGATAGTGAAAGAGAGGGTTGATGGAGAGAGAGAAAATAGAGAAAATGGAAAATAAAAAATAAGAGGATGGAGGAAAGAAAACAAATTGAGGACAAAAAGAGAAGGAGAGAGACAAAAAAGAAAAGTGAAAGAGAACAAAAGAGGAAAAAAGAAAGAGGCAGTGACAAAAAAGAAAGAATTAGAAGTGAGCGGGGGAGCAGCAATGGAAAAATGAAGATATTTGGTAGCTCAATTGATTACATATAATATAAAGTGTTTGATTGGCCATTTTTATTACTTTTCTTTGATTGTTTCATGAAACTAATTCGGACAGATGGTATTATTAAAAGTGGTTTAGCACATGGACGATTCCATGCAATGTGTCTGTGAAGACATATGATATGTATCCATTTCATCTATGTATGGAAAATCTCTTGGTATAACTATGACTAAAGGTAGTAATACCAGAATGCGCCATTATTCAATGGTCATGAAAAATATTTGTGCAGACTTAGATTTTTTCAAAGAGTTTTTATACTTGTATCATACAATAGTATAATAATAATAATAATAATAATAATGGTGGCTTCTTATATAGCGCACATGTCCGTCACGTTGTGATGCTCCTGGCGCTGCCAAAGTATCATTCCAAACTGACATTGCTAACTATGATAATTAGGATATCATGTTTTCTCAGAACTTGGATTTATGGATGTAGTACCTTTTGGCACCAAGCTCTTCATAGGTGTGTGGAAGACAATTTATTTCATACGGTACATCACACATTGCATGCAATCACCCACATGCTATTGTGCTGCCCAGAAATAGTGGAAGACAATCATTTCATAAAATGTATTCCTTTTTTTATTTCTTGTTTTGAGGATAAAACAAACTTAATGGACATTTAAAACTATAAAATCATTTAACATCTACTGCGGATCAAGTTGCAGCTTCAATTCTACCTAAAAGAGCTCTCAGTTCAACTGTTACATGATAGTGGTATAATAGTATAGTATTAATGACTGCTTTGAGAGAAATAGTTGTTTTATTACGCTCAAGGGAAGGTTAGAATTGTGCTATTCCCCGAGGCATGCCGAGGGGAATAGCCCAATTCTAACCTTCCCGAGAGCGTATGAAAACAACTATTTCTCGAATATTAAAGCAGTCATTAATACTTTTATATGCCGAAAAAAAATAGACTAAAAAATGAAAAATTAAAAATATTTCTCATTTTTGTCGAAGACGGGATTCGAACTCTTGCGTACAACAAGAGGTATACTGTAAACCAACGCTTAGACCACTCGGCTATGGCCCGCCGCTAACATGCTTGGCAGTTTTCTCCGATATATACATTAAAATGGATTGAAACCGGCTTCGCGTGTGATGAATGCTTCGCAAAAGCTCCATATACGGACTCTTCTTTTACTTTTGCAATGCATATTGGCACGAACTTAGATCAAGATCTATCGGCAGATGTTGTTTTTAATACTAGCAGTCATTAATACTTTTATATGCCGAAAAAAATAGACTAAAAAATGAAAAATTAAAAATATTTATCATTTTTGTCGAAGACGGGATTCGAACTCTTGCGTACAACAAAAGGAGTACCGAAAACCAACGCTTAGACCACTCGGCTATGGCCCGCCGTTAACATGCTTGGCAGTTTTCTCCAATATATACATTAAAATGGATTGAAACCGGCTTCGCGTGTGATGAATGCTTCGCAAAAGCTCCATATACGGACTCTTCTTTTACTTTTGCAATGCATATTGGCACGAACTTAGATCAAGATCTATCGGCAGATGTTGTTTTTTTGTTTTTGGAAGTTTATTTTCGTCTTCATGTCAACAATGCAAGATAAAATTGTCGGTAAGATCGATCGAGATTCAATCGTATTGAAATTACCGACCAATCCTTCGCACACATACGGCATCCTCCATCGCTCAAACCATTTTTTAACATGTAAACCTATGGGGTAACCATGGACGCTGACCAACTTTTTTTAATAACCATGGTTATTAAAAATATTGAAATGTTTTATGCATGGTTACCGAGAATTTTACAGGAACAGTTGAAGTTTATGAATGCAATTCGACCAATCAGATGGCTGGATTTCTTAAGTGAGGTATATAATGTTCGATGTGACATTTGATCTATACCATTACATTACATAGTGATAGTGATATGAGGTTTGACTAATCGAAAGGGCAAGGTTCCAATTTCATGATTTCTAGAATGTACGAATGTATTTTTTTTCCACAGCTAACGGTGATGTTGAAGGGGGAAATGTCTTTCTGGTGCATTACTGAATATGACCCATTTGGATGTTGAAAGGCTGTTTCCTAAATTGAAAACTTGATAGTTTTTTCAAAAATAATATCACTAGCGATATTATTTTCGATACTACATCCGCAATGAGTAATATATTTAGCATTATTGATAGTTTTTGTTTTGGCGAAGACCTTAGGTACACATGAAAGTGTCTGCTGAGTAATAGAAGGACGTAAATTTACTAGGCTTTTACTGTATGGAATTATATTTTTCTAGCTCTTAACAGGCTATATGAAGTTACCCAGTACATTTGGAATAAGAAATAGTTAATATTTGATACCTTTGTACACTTGATTTATGAATTTTCTTTCATCTTTGGTGTTAAATATTACTGAGGCATCTCCATGTTTTTGTTTACCTCTTTTTAAATGCAGATCAAATTCCTTGGCTTACATCTGTCATTGACGCCTGAAGTGATCGGTAAAGCGTGACAAAGTTTGACAGGGTCTTCTAAAAGCCTCATTGCGTGCCATCGATCAAGGAGCAGATGATAGAAGCTATAAAGCCCTGTAATACGATTATTCATCGTGGATCTCTGTAAACACACCCCTCTCATTAGCGACCATCTTGATATCTCATCAGCTCACACCTCTTGAAGATCATCGCATGCTTAATTTGACCCGATGTCCTGAGGTATCGAGACACAGCCGGCTTGTTTTTCGTGCATACTCAGGATGGTGACTAAATTATCGCTAATATCATAATTGATTTCTGGTTGACTGCCTGTGTCGTGTTACGTCGTGCGGCACGCTTCAACGGTTCCTCAAAAGACTTAACACGCTGAAGTGATATGTGGGGCAGTATCTTTTGTTGTTAGTAGCGTTTAAACAGCTGAGCCCCTGCCAAGTAACGTCAGAAAGCACGATCGTATGGATCTCATCGTGTGAAAGGAAAGAAAAAGCAAGTTAATGAAGCAGAAGCCATTGTCAATATGACATGAATTTAGACCTAATAGTAACCTGGTGAGTCGCTATATCTTACAACGTGAACATTATCATCTGGCTGGAATCAGCTAGACAAACACCTTCATCTATATTTGGTCTCGTCCTTCTATCAATAATTTCCAGCATCTTTGTGTCTCATCATTCCCTCACCAAGCTTTGATCATAAACCAAGCATGAAATGATTTTGTTTTGAGGAGTAAAGGCATGCCCAGTCTTTGAAGAAGAGCAAACATTTCAACTTTCAAAAGTGTTATTTGTAAAAAGGAATGATTATAGTCGAAGTTAAAGGGTAGACAGTTTATAAAGTGGTTCCTTTCAATGGACTGGTTCCCTTGGGGTTGTGATTTGTACTTAGGGGTCACTGTTAATTTGAAATGAATGTCTCTGACAAAGCGAACAGCGCGTGGCATCCCCTCCGACTCCAAGCACAAACGTCCCTACCCTTTCTTGGCGCACGCCGGCCGTCACTCCAACAACACCTACTACGCACCCCTGTCAGGGGGCGGTGATCTTCGCTTCTACCCCCCTCCCGGCACCACCAACCCAACCAAGCTCCGGCAACACCACCACCCGACAAGGACTAAGATGTCTAATGCATCACGGCAGGTGGGGAACCGCAGGCTTCCTCCGCTACCGGCACCGGGTCAGAGCAGACGGACCCAGCCGACGAGCCCCCATGGGGCAGGGAAGAGCAGTATTGGGGGATCTACCTACCATGGAAGCCAAACGTCTAGCGCTAGAAGCAGAGGTGGTAGCAGTACGTCCAATCACTCTAGTGTTCGTGTCAGTGTCAGCTATGACATGATCGTCAAAGGTAAGCAAACATTCAAATCATTACCTCATTTTGCCCTTTTTTTCCCTTATTTGTGAAGATGTGGGTAATCAATAGATGATAATATCAAATAATCATTAATCTAGTGAAATGTGAATGAATTTCAAGTACCATTACTACCAAGAAATTCTAATTATCTAGAATATAATGTGGCAAATAAAGATTTGATTCTTGAACCCCCCCCCCCCCCCAATTTGTTTGAAACTCTATTTATCCCTATCCCTTACCTTCATTCCTATTGTAGCAAAAGGTTTTTTTTTATACATGAATTTGTTTCATGATTATACAAATATCTTGAGCTATTCATAATTTTCATTTTCTTATACATCTCTATTTACACCGGTATAGCTGTATCATAGACAAAATGTATACAAACTTATAAAGGTATAGAAAACTTGATGCACATTGAAAGGATGTATTCTATTTTAATTTTTTTTATGAAAAGAAAAACTTTTATAAAATGAATCTACTACAAGTAGATTTTTCCACATGTCTTTTCTGTTTTCCTCCTTCATTATTTCTCTAAATGAAGTGCTCTTAATGTGAAAAATTGGTTTAAAAACATAGCCTAACTTTCCTACAGATTTGTACTAGGCTGGAGTGATTTTCTGCTTTTTTTGTGTGCAATTAAAGAGTTTATTCATTCTAAGGTTATAACTATAATAGTTTTGAAGATGGAGTTTTCTTTATTAAGCAAAGAAGGGACAAATGAAGAAATAATGAACCTCATTACCAATTGATTGTAAGATACATAGTGAACAAAGCATCACATTTCTTACACTCTGTTCATATCTTCTTGAGATTGTTTTTGTATAATAGCTCATGTATTATGAGTTTCATTTATTAAGGAAAAACAATTTTTCAGTTGAGAATCTCTTGTTTCTGCCGAAAGATATACATTTCTAACAAATTTGACATGTCCAACTACTATTACTACTTCTACTACTACTACTACTACTACTATTACTACTACTACTACTACTACTACTACTACTACTACTACTACTACTACTACTAATACTAATAATAATACTACTACTACATGTAATACTACTAGTATTACTATTGCTACAATGTTCTACTGCTAATTCTACTGTTACATGTACCACTACTAATTCTACTATTACTACTTCTACTACTACTACTGCTACTGCTAAAACTACTGATAAAACTATTACTACTACTGCTGCTATTACTGCTACTAGTACTTTTACTACTACAACTTACTACTACTACAACAACGTACTACTACTACTACTTCTACTACTATACTACTACTACTACTGCTACTTTTATAGTATGTACAATATCCTCATAATACAATCATTAGCCCAATCATCTAGAATATCAAGCTGCTGCTAGCTCGCTATAAAATATATATACCTGTAGTCGGATATGCTCACAAAACATGTGACCTTGGCTAGCCTTAAAATAATTGTAATTGGTCATCTAATTTATTATGAAAGCTTTTAATGATAGTCACTCTTGAGGACCATGGAGATAGATAGGATAACACGCTCGTAACCAAGGCTGTTGTGAGGGAGATTCAAAAACCTTCTCAATCAAACCTTCACAACAGTAAACAGAATGGAGGACATAGTATATGATATACTGTAACTAAATATGAGCATACAAAGCCATTATATACACATACTTTTGGAGGTTATTTTGCCGTTACGATGTAACACACAATCTTCCACTACTCTCTCTTCATGCAGTACACTTAAAAAATATGTCTCATTTTATTAATATCTGTACCTTTTTTTTCTCTCTCTCTCTCTCTCTCTTTCTCTCTCAACATTTACTTTTCTATCTTTATCATTACATGTTAGCACCATCTTTTGCCTGGCTCTCTTTCATAATTCTCCCATTCGCTTTTTCCCCATCTCTTTATTTCTCTCTATATATAATCTCATAATTGTGAATTGCTTTCTTTCACTCCCATTAAAAAAAATCTATCTCTATTTCTAGTTTCTTCTATCTATTTCTCTCCATCTGTCTCTATATTTATCTCTTTGTATGTATGAATTTAGATATCACATCCTCCCACCCTCTCTCTCTCTCTCTCTCTCTCGCTATCTCTCTCTCTCTCTCTCTCTGTCCATATCTCTGTCTCTCTTTCTCTATCTATGTCTATCCTGGTGTATATCTTTCTCTGTCTATGTCACTATCTCTGTCTTCATCTCTGTATATCTATCTTTCTTTCACCCTGTTACCCAGATCTAATTACATTAATATGTCATCTTTTCTCTGATACTTTGAGTTATTATTTTGTAGTATATTAATCTGCGTCTGTCTTTTGCTTTTTTAAATTTCTTTATTAAATGTATACATTTAGTTTGCTATGATTATTACATTAATATATCTGTACTGTACAACAAACTCATTTAAAATGATCAATTTATTATCCATACTGTGTGTGTTTTCTTCTTTTTTTTAAAGGAAGAGAAAAGGCAAAAGACGTTAAAAGTCCATACAAAATTCTCTGTTTGTTTTAAAAACACCGTGGAAATTGAATGAGGAAGAAAAAATGCCGCGGTAGAACAAGAAAAAAAAAAGAAAAAAAAGGGATTCTCTTAAATCCCAAGCAAGGTATTTGACATTTGTTATTTCTTGCTTTGGTTTGTAGTATTAGAACACACAATACACACTTCACTTTCATACATGTGTACACAAATATCTGAACAAAAGCCTTCGTTAATTTAAAAGCATTGCCGTTGGCAAAAATAAATACTCGCTCTTTATTCACGATATATCACACGAACTATAACTCAAATCTTGCTCTATTGTCCATCTGTACAATCATTGACATTTGCGCTTGCAGATTCCATCTAAAAATGGATCTTTTGTCTGTTTGCAGATATAAAGAAGATGCCGATACAATAGTTTGGGTGAATGGGCACTTTGCTGAAAGAAGTTAAATTGCCTTTTTGTTCTGTAAACCAGTTCAGTATTTGAAATACTGTAACTACTACTACTACTACTAGGGTGAACACACTGCCTGTGCAAACAGTCTGCCCCGCGAACACACACACACAACAGCAGTCAGTTGGTAGAAATAGCAATTTATGTAAATGTATTTAAAAAAACTAAACAATATTTTTAAATTTTTATTTCACATATATTTCAAGCATACCTTTAACTACAATTCTGTGTAGTTTTATTGTTATAGGCATGTGGGAAATATGTTAATTATTTAATTAGAATATTGTCTTTTCAGCCATGTGTGACATGGCCCGCTGATCGCCCATTGACTCGCGCTGCTATTCTGCGTGGTGAAAATGCACCTCAATGTATAAAACTCCCCTACAAAAATGCAATATCCTCATGTGTTTCACTCGTTGAATCAATTTGTTTTTTACACTCAAGGTAGCTACAACTGTACTGGGGTCACCAAAATTTTTCAGTCTGAAATTCAGTCCCTGTGGAATGATATGGCCTGTTAAATGGTTTCTCGGAAGATTGTCATAAATCCTCAAATCTGACATATTTTAAATAGGCAAATATACTGTGATGTAGCTGAAAGTCTACAAATTCTTATCATATGATCGGTCTTTCTGAATTATTTGTGAAACACATGAGGAAATAGCTGTGACGGTGATCCAAGTAATTTCCATCTCCATAGTTTATTGGCATTGCAAAAATATTTGGAATTTAAGGTTAATATTTGGTGTAAATATGATCTATGAATATATGATTTAACAAATGCCCCCAAAATGAACAGTTTGACTTTCCTAATTTGCATAATGAGTGCGCGAATATATAATTAGCTGAAATGCCTAATTTGTATATTTGATGAATATTCATGACTTTTTTAAACTTCAAATGAAATATATTTCCATACGTGTCTGATATACATAGGTTTCACTGATGTATCATGTTCGGTTTTGATTTTATCACATATGCACATATTAATTAGGCGGACTTAGTTATTTTCACAACTTTTTTATATCTGCAGATTCGCAAAAATTACTTATTTTGTTGGCTTCTGTTTTCAAAACGGTAATAAATATATGAATTGTCTTTTTTGTATTTTTTACCACAAAGATGATATTTTAGTGTCTGATAATTTAATTTATTATTTGTGTCCAAGAAAGTGATGAATTAAGTTGTCAACTTTGTCGTATTATGCCATTTTTGCCAATTTGACCAATTTTTTGGTAATTTTGCGATATAAAAAAAAATGGTATAAAATCACAACGCATTGACCGATTTCAATTCTGTTTTTAGTTTTTTGAAGCTTTCATGAAGCTTGATCATTTGCAACCATCAAATAACATGTGTTTGTTTTAATTATTGTTGGTGTGCTATACCTACTACTACTTCTACTACCACCATCATTATACTACTGCTGATGATAATAGTAATGATTATGATAGAAGAAGGAGGAGGGGGAGGGGAAGGGGGAGGGGAAGGAGGGGAGGGGGAGGAGGACAAGGAGGAGGAGGAGGAAGAGGGGGAGGGGGAGGAGGAGGAGGAGGAGGAGGAGGAGGAGGAGGAGGAGGAAGAGGAGGAGGAGGGGGAGGGGGAGGGGAGGGGGAGGAGGAGGAGGGGAGGAGGAGGAGGAGGAGGAGGAGGAGGTGGAGGAGGAGGGGGAGGGGAAGGGGGAGGAGGAGGAGGTGGAGGAGGAGGGGGAGGGGAAGGGGGAGGGGAAGGAGGGGAGGGGGAGGAGGACAAGGAGGAGGAGGAGGAAAAGGGGGAGGGGGAGGAGGAGGAGGAGGAGGAGGAGGAGGAGGAGGAGGAGAAGGAAGAGGAGGAGGAGGGGGAGGGGGAGGGGAGGGGGAGGAGGAGGGGAGGAGGAGGAGGAGGAGGAGGAGGAGGAGGAGGAGGAAGAAGAAGGAGAAGAGGAAGAAGGAGAAGAGGAAGAGGAGGAGGAGGTGGAATCCTATCCATTTGTAATATTTTCATTGACAGCCATGGATACATTCACATCTTCCCTAGATATAGATAACGTGCTGTCAAGTAACTAACATATTTTCATTGAAAGCATTGAAAGACGGTCCTTAATTTTTTTGATTTTTCAATAAATAAATGTTTTATTGATACTTTTCATTTCACAAAACATATTCCATGGATGGATACAATAAATCTTTTGTGTATTGATGCACATATAGCGTGAAACATTTATTATTAAATTATTCATTCATGTTCATCATTTTTTTGCAATTGGTTTCCTTTAATTCCCTTTTAAACTCACATATGCCTTTTGTATCCACGAATGTTCTAATATTTGTACAGTCAAACCTGCTTTTACGACCACCTGTAAAGAAAGACCACCTCTCCATAAAAGCCACATTTTGAATTTCCCTTGACTATGCTTCTCATTGAAACCTGTACTAAAGGAACCTGTACATGAAGACCACCTGCCTATAAAGACCACTTTTCTTGTGTCCCTTGCGAGGTCTTTATGTACAGGTTTCACTGTACCACTGACATGACTGTATTAGTGTTGTTGTTTGTCATCGACTCTTTTTAATAGGTTGCATTTCTTTTTCTCTCTCTGCAGGTTTGTCGACATATGGGAATGGATACTCTAAAAACAACAGAATCAGCCATTCACAGGCAACATCAGACCAGACTGGCCATATTCCAGGTAACCCCCTCCCTTATTCTTCCTTAAAGGCATCGTTTAACAATGTTAAATCTGAGATGCATGGCCCTACGTGTTATCAGTGTCTGTCATATTGTGTAATACTGAAGCCCTTAAAAATTGTGCTTCAACATGATCATGAAGTGCCTCGGAAAAGTGAAAAATAGTTGAGTGACCGGTTTTACCATGTTCATTTCTCCCAATAGACTGTAGTGTTGTAAAAACCATTAAGAAAACGAAAATTAAATTTTGATTTACAATCTTAAATATCTTGATAATCAGTCAGGCGATTGGCTTGTAAACGTCATTTGATTCCTGACTGACCTGAAGGTTTATGATTATGATTGCAGCATGAGCTAAATCCAGGATTTTGTTCCAGAATCTAAGGCAATGTTACCGATTTATGGCCAAATGATACATTAAACAAACAAAAGGAAAAAAAAAGTCTACAGCAAAAATCAAATGACATTACAAGCATATGTTTGTGTATTCATCCATTAATTAATTTGTTCTATATGACCGTGAAACAGATTGTATTGCATTCCACATTTCTATACTGTACAGTATACAACATGCAAATATTTCAAGTACTTATTACTTTTGCTGCAGTAGTTTGTAGAAGTGCTTCAACACATCATATATAAAGGAAGGCAGATTAAAAGTGTTCAACTTCAAAGCTGGGTATAGGTCTATTGATAAGCTAAGATTAATGAATTATTTCTGCTTTTTAAAAATTTTTATGATTGTGATGTGGAATATGTCCCCTATGTTTGTGTAGACTAATTTTCTGCTACCCTAAAAATATGTTAAAGTAAAGGGACTGAATTATACAAAATGTATATCAGTTTAATCTCATTTGATTGCATTAATTCTGTAGTAGATACAATGCAGGAGAATTCAAAACAATTGTGAAATGACAATATTAATGATTCCTTTGTATCTTGTATAAAATTTGTTTTAGTATCTATAGAAACTAGGTGGATCCTGTATTAAGCATTTGAGATTTTGAGAAAATGGTTGTCGGTGGGTTAAATGTCACTTATTTCTTTAAATTTTTTCCTACAGAAAATTTTACACAAGAACATATCCGTCACTACCTAGATGTATTAAAAATATATATTCTTGGGAGACTATATTATCAATCACGCCAACGGTTAAACACACTTATTTGCTGGAATTTTGTCGTACAGAAAATGTTGCACAAGAACATATCCTCACTACCTACAGTGTTGATAAAAAACCCCAGTTCTTAGATGACAATGTTATCAACTACACCAACGGTTAAATCACATTTTCTTGTTGTAATTTTGTCCTACAGAAAATGTTGCACAGGAGCATATCCGTCACTACCTCAATGAAAACCCCCAATTCTTAGATGACTATGTTATCACCCGCACCAACAGTTAAATCACATTTTCTTGTTGTAATTTTGTCCTACAGAAGGTGTTGCACAAGAACATATCTGTCACTACTTAGATAATTAAAAATAAGTTTTAGAAGACTATATCAATAATTACACCAACTGTTAAATCACCTTTTCTTGTTGTACTTTTGTCCTACAGAAAATGTTGCACAAGAACATATCCGTCACTACCTAGATGAAAACCCACAATTCTTAGATGACTATGTCATCAATCACGTCAACGCCGAACAGGTAGAGAAATGGCTGAACAGCATCCGCAAGAAACCTTCACCGACAACGAGTGCGGGACGAAGCCCACGGCACCAGACGCCAAGTCTGAAGCGACCAACCTTGCAGAGTACAACGTCCACCGTGGGTATCACTGGACCACTCAACACTAAGTTTGAGGGTACATTTGCAGGTAAGCATTATACAGTAAACAATTCCATTATTCATGCCCTTACCAGGTTTTGTGATTTTTTTAAAGATAAAGTTGGGTTTTGGTCATGCAATTGCGTTGTTAAAGAAACGGTGTGGAATCGATCAGAAAAGGTTGATCATCTAGCATATAAGTATTGCTGTGTACTGCAAGGTTCTGGAATCATCAAAATGTTAAGAAATTTGGCTCAGTCTTGTTTTTAAAAGTTACAAGCACTGTACACAGAAAGATGTATATGGGGCTACATGAACATGTGGCATAAAAATCTGTCTTGATTTTGATATTGTTACATGCCATATTTAGAACATGAAAGCATTTGAAGAGCCATGCTTTTCAGGGAACATTTTTCATCCGATGTTCTTCCACACTTACATAATAACAATGATAACGCTCATTCACCGTATTTCACCTCTTCCCAGAACGCAAAATTCTCTTTAATTATGTGCAAAATGGATTTGCCCCGGTGTATGATTCAGGATTGAGAATGTGACATATTTGTATGTCAGATTTCTTTGTGGCCCGAAACTAAATTTTGTTTCCTCTTGCAATGTTTGATATGTTTTTTTTTTTTTTACAGTTTAATGTGTTGTCTTATTCTAAACATAGTTTATATCAACTATGAAATCAGAAAGATGTAATAACTAACATGCAATCTGTAAAAACATTTCCATTTTTGTACAAATCAATATACCTTATTTAGCAGAAGGTTGCAAACACAATTTTTTTCTAGTGAGTTTTCTATTTTGGAACAGAAATGTTCATATGTTCTGTGACATGATTCATGACTACCCAAATCAATTTAATCATGATGTAAGCGATCGATATCAAAAGGCCATGAATTCTCCGGCTATAAATGTCTCCTATGTGGAAGGTAAAATCAGTAAAATTTAATGAGTAACCTTTTCATGGCCAGGATGGCACAGCAAAAATAGAGGAAAATAACTGTTCAATAACTACTCAACATGCAGACTAAGTAAGGACTGCTCAGCAAAAACTGAGGGAAATGATTTGTCAAATTATTAATTGGACTGCATGTGTATTTTTACATTCTGGTTGGATGTACCGTAATACATTTAAAAAAAATTATAGTCTTTTTAAAATTATCTCCGCAAGGCTTTCTAAAGTAATGAGCCATCACTGTTAATGACTTGCACATTTTAGGGAATGAGATGTGTTATGTAGATTTCAGTTACAGTCAAACATTTCAAAACACATTTTCTTGAGATAAACATCCGCCATACGGGCATCCCTATGCAGCCTCCCAATGGAGCTGATGATACTTGTCATGTTAGTACTCGATGTGTAGATAGAACAATGATATACTTTTGTACTCTGATGTACATGTAGATACATGTTTCAAAGAGAATTTTAAGTTCTGGTAGAGGTCAAAAATTTATAATTTATGACCCTTTTTAATTCTCTTTTCTTATCAGTTGAGAAGAATATCATATAAGTCCCCTGAAAATAGTTGCTTTTCAAATGTCCCCATGCTTATATAAGTACCTTCATGCATCATGTATTTGTGTAGTCCCATATATTTATTTCTACCACACTTCCATTTTCCTTGAATTCATTTGCCAATTCTATTATTTTGATGAATCTAAAAGTAGCATCACATTTTGTGTAGCAATGGAGGCAAATTAAAGGCTACAAGATACTAAGCATAAATGCATGCTTTGTCATCAGGGAGCAGTAATAGTAATTGTACATACAGGGCACTACAGAACATGTGACACAACTTACTGAATGTCAAAAGATCATAATTCAAAACTTGTATGATATTGTAACCCAACCAATTATTTCTCAAGTGTTGAGATGTTTTCAACATTTCAATTTAATGGCAAGCCAAGTCTAATTGCCATTATCGTAATGATGATTAAAACAGTCACAGTAATTAATGCTCACAGAAACCTTGTAAAATGAAATGTATACATGTATATAGAAATAAAATGATCAACTAAATTGGCTGTGTGCAACAGGGCATGACAATACTGCTCTACCATTTCATTTCAATTATGTAGAATATAGAAACACATTGTGTATATGTATGAATACATAAGAACCAATTAAAAGGAGGCAGTATCAAAGCCACAAGTGCACTTAAATGCATTGCTCCAAAGTACAACATTTCTCCCAGTTTAACTAGTCGACTCCCAAATTATCTTAATTCCCATAGGCTTAAGACAGGGACCGCCTGGCTACAGTAGGCTATGGGTTAAAGTATTATTCAAGCAATGATGACAGAAGTGCATGATTTATCAGTTAAATGTCATGTGATATTGGGATTCTTTTCCGAGGCAGTCCTCTGGCAGCTGCCAAAGCTTTACACCAAACAGTGTATCAAGGCATCATCCAACAAATTCAATAGCCGATCGATATGCCATCGCCATGGTAACAGGAATTGTTTACACAGCTTCGACGCACGGTGCGCGGGCCGGCTCCAAACACCTGGTGCTGTATAGCTAACGGGATGTACAAATATAGAATTGTGGAAAGCTAATGCTTTTGAGGATCGCTTACTTGAAACTGTTTGCGATGGGAAAACAGTGTGGGATTGGGGGATGATCCTTTTCATCCTCTTGTTAACATCGTTTGGTTAAAGGTAAAGACCAGTATTGGAAACGCCCCAATTTCAAAAAAATGAAATGGAAGCTCTTATTTACCAATCATGTGAAAGAATATGTTTTGACTAATACATGATGATAACAACTTTGCTGGGAAACCGCCTACTAATTCATATATTTGGTAAGTTTGTTTCTCTCATGGACTGTGAGAGATAAACGCACGTGTGGCGCACGTTTGCGTAGTCCCATATACATCTTTCTGTGTACAGTGCTTGTGACTTTATCAAGACTGGGCCAAATTTATTACAATTTTGATGATTCCAGAACCTTGCAGTACACACCAATACTTATATGCTAGATGATCAACCTTTTCTGATCGATTCCACAAGGTTTCCTTCACAATGCAATCGCATGACCATAACTTGTCTTTATCTTTAACTGCAGATGAATAACAGTGGATCTTATCATAGCAGACAATAATTTAATACTTGTAATAAAGATAGATTCTCCATCACTTTCTTTAATTCTTGTCCTTTTTGATTTATCATTATTGATTTACCAATAGAAGCCATTGGACTAGAACCATTCAGCATATGCATAATGAGAATATGTATGCTCAGAATGTAAACACACACCAGTACTGTAATATGATGCAACGACAGGACCTATACGTACTTGAATGAATACAGGGGGGTGTTTCACACATACTTAGATCGACTTTAAGTTGGACTTAACTATGGCAGGCCGTTCATGCCACTGTTTGCTCTCACCATTAAACTGGCATTGGTCTCTCAAAGGACGTACAAATCATGGTCACAAATCTACAGAATTTACATTTATGGATAATTCACTATTGAAGGAAAATCTAAAGATCATAATGGTGAGAGCAAGCAGTGGCATGAATGGCCTGCTGTAGTTAAGTCCAACTTAAAGTCAACCTTAGTCTTCATGAAACACCCCCCCCCCCCCCCCCCCCCCCCCCCCCCCCTCCCCGTCATTGAATCACATGCAAGACACTGTTCAGAATCATCACAGTGATAAGATATTGACTTGCATATGATCTTGCTTAAAGTCGTGCCCTTGGACTTTTTCCATTATAAAGAAAAAATAAAAGCAAAAAACACATACAATACAAATATTGCAGCATATTCTTGACTGCAATGTAGACCATGACAACTAAAGGGTCAGGCTGAAATATATGCACACTTGGAAATTCAATAGAAAATATGTTGTAATTACTAATATTTTCTAATCAAATGGGTTTCATTAGAGTCATTTTCATGTCATTTAGATACATTCAGTTTTGCTATTTTCTGTTGTTGCAAACTTTGGTCACTAAATGATTCATCACCTTAATTCAAGCATATCTTTTTCTCACTGCAGCATAATCACAAGATTAATACTACCAATGAAGAGTATAATGTAATAAACTTCTTAATTGACACACTAACTAAAAACACTGAAATGATGTGTAAGATGTTTAAAGTAATAAAAACAACGAGTGCCAAACAGAGGCGGATCCCAGATGATACAAGAGCCATCATCACCATATAAAGGAGTTTTTGTTACAGAAACTGTCATTAGGTGAATGTTACACAATATGAGCTTTACCTATGTATGCCTGTACAATGATTTGTGTAATCAGTAAATAGCTATACATTTTAAACTGCTTTCCGTGGGTAGCGCAATTGTGATTTTACTTGCATACGTGTACGTGCCGACAAACATGCATTGTTCATGTACTAGCTTGCAAACAGCATCTGAGACTCGTGTTGAAATGAATAAATCAAATAGGGACTGTTAAAGAGAGAAGCATGACATCACAGAAATACAGAAAGAATTTTCTTTCTGTTAAACCAAAGAAGAAAAAGGCAGAGGAAGGAAAGACGGAGATGATGGGAAGACAGAGAGAGACAGACAGAAATAGAGAGAGAGAGAGACAGAGAAAGAGACAGAGAAAGGGAGAGAGAGACAGACAAAGACAGGCAGACAGAGAGAAAGAGAGAGAAAAAAAAAGAGAGACAGACAGACAGAGAAAGAGAGGGAGAAACAGAAAGAGAGATAGAGACAGACAGAGACAGACAGAGAGACAGAGAGAGAAAGAGAGAGAGAGAGAGAGAGAGAGATGGGGAGGGTGATAATGAGGTTCATTAAGAGTCTTATTTAAAACTCCATTTGCAGCCACATGGTTGAATTGCGTTGAATTGCACAATGTGTACAGCATGTAAATCGTAATGATCAATCATTGTTACATAATCTATTTTGATCATAACAACATATCATATTATTATATATTATATTGACATAAACAGGTAGAGACAGAGAGTGACCAAATGGGACAGAAAAAGGGAGAGAGAGAGAGAGAAAAAAAAGAAGAAGACGGAGACAGATCAACAGAGCAATACATAGGGAAAAGAGGTGACAATGGAATCAGAAAGCAAAACTGAAAAGAAAGAGCTATACGTACATGATTGTGATTTTTAAAGTGGTACTGCACAATTTTCTCCATTAATTACCTGTAATTTCTAATTCCATACATTATATTAATTGCATTTTGTCAATATATTTTTCACTCTCTAATTATTTCATTTCTTTCCTTCCTTGCAGGAGAGTCGATACGAGCCTCACACAGCAATGCAAGGCAGTGGAAGGTAAGTGTATTATCTCTTGGACCCTTTTACTTTTTCTATTTTTTTTTTACTACACTCTCTGTGGTATTTTATCTATTGTTTTTGCATTTAATTTCATTAATTGTCCATATGATGTAAATACAATGACATCATTACATTCACAATTCAATGTGTGTAGTACTACTGAATAGACCTATATGTATTATTATGACTATTGTAGACCGTTTTAGATTATGAAAATGATTTAATCTTTGTAAACAATTGTTGTAATGTCATATATATCAAATCAAAATTAGGACAATTCATTGATTATTGACTGCACAAAGCTAGCTGCATTCGCATAAGTTAAAAGACACGTCTGCATTAGCACCTATGCATGGTAAGTGCGAATTTCATGCCATTTTAGTTTGTAATGAGAATTAACATTTTTTCCTCTATCAGAATAATGCCCTTGTTAAATATGTGTCAGATATATGAACGTCACTAGAATACCCATGGAATACCTAAATTGTATGACTGATATGATAGGCTGAAGATATTCCAAAAAAGCTTGTGGTTTATAAAAATATGTATGATGTCACTACAAGTTCCTTACTTTCGTGCCATATATTACCATTTGAATTCTTTTAATCTTATTTGTCGGTTAGAAGTAAAGTTGTAGAATTTCTGTGATCGAAGCTTGTAGCACTTAAAGGCTGGTGATTGTCTTAAACATTTCAAGGATATGTCTATTCCACTTCATCAGATAGCAGGAAACAAATCTAATAAGACAGTTACTGGTTTCAAGATATAGGCCTGGCAAATTTGAGGTTAGAGAAAGTCATTTAAGGCTCAAAAATGCAATTTAGCAAGGGACATTACCGGTAGGCATGTGCCGTGTGGATTAAAAGAGTCTGATTTATTGCACTTAGTGCTTGGGCAATTCCGCAAAATAGTCCTTTCCCTGGTGGCCGATTACCAAATTGGTCAAAAATAAGTCACACGAGGTGAGGAGAGAATATAATGTGTGAAATCTTCTGGAATCGGGCATGGTGCGACTGATGCAAACAATAGGGGCATTTACATCGCAAGCAAAAACCATGGATTCTTGTCACGTTTAGGAGTTTCATTGGAAGTTGCTAGGCAACGACCCATAAACACAACAGAGTAACTCGATTAAAAGAACCCGCCTCTGGACTGTGGTTTCTTTAAACTCCTGCCAAAACTGCCGGGTCTTTTTGCAATGAAATGCTCGCTTTGAAATGCCATTGAATTAGTTTTTGCTCATGTGACCCCTCTCACTTTTGAACCCGGCATCGCATGCAGAGCAGCAACATGTCTCAAATGCATAGAATTTACAAAAGTAACTAAAAAAAAGAACAAACTAAAAATAATTCTGGGTTTTTTCAACTAGTGTGAATAGGATTTTACACAAAATCATGATCTTTCGACCTGGGTTTTCTACGGTGTAAATGAGCCTAATATCTCCTTTCCATAAGCACTGTCATGTATCAGGATGGTGAGGTCAACAAGCAGGAGAAAGATGAAGGGTAAAATATTACCATGGTAACCAGTAAATGGAAAGGATAGCATCTCAACGTCACTAGGGGTATATATCTTCCCCTGGGGGTAGTGTGTGGCAAACTCGCCCGGGCTTAAAAGGCATTTTCGGTAAATTCTTCTCTCCTTTTATCTTCTCTTGTTCTTTAAAATCTCTGACACTCCCGGCTTTCTCTCCTCCTCTCCCTTTCTGTCTCTCTCTCTCTCTCTCTATTTCTCTCTTATTCCTTCTTTCGTACACACCTCACACCCTCACTTTTCTGTCTCTGCTCAACTGTTTCTCTGCCTCTCTATCTCTAACTTACCCTTTTTTCATATCTCCCATCTTCTCTCTTTCTCTCTCTCCTTCTCTGGCTTGCTCTCTAGCCCTCTCTCTCTCTCTCTCTCTGACTCTCCCCTGGCAATCTGTTTTTTTTTTCTCTCTGTCTCTCTAGGTCCATGCTCTCTCTTTCTCATTCTTTTTTTTTCTTTCCTACTCTCACTCCCTCCATCTGTGACCCCCTCTCTCTCTCTCTCTCTCTCTCTCTCTCTCTCTCTCTCTCTCTAATGTGATCCTTGCCATCATTCGTTAGGGTATCAAGAGACACGCGATGGTAATGGCATGGCTTCATAATCAAGTTGGACTCCCATTTTCAGATGATTTCCTTCAATTTGTGGATAATAATTCTTTTTGAAAAATAAAAAAACTTTGGAGCTGAGGTATGGCACTAAAAGACCTTGAGAAACGTCAAGAACATGCTTAAGTGCTTAAGCATGTTATTGTCCTTGGAGAAAAAGAAATCATATTCCTGATGAGAAACGTGCATGTATTGCTGTAAAGAAATTTCATAAAAAGCTATTAGGTGTTTGCTGTACTGTACACATTCATGCGTTTTTAAATTTTTTTTAAATCAAAAAAATTTCATTAAGAATTGATGATCATAAAATGCAATTCTGTGTGCCTGACAGAAAGGCTTGGACACATTTTGGTTGAGTTCATTGCTATCATTTTTTTTAAATAAAAGCTATGATGGAGTTATTTAATAAAGAAACACCCCTATCTTAAATGCATGTATATAAACTAAATAGGCATTCATTCATGTACATAAGTGAGTGGATGAAGAAATAAAACAACAACCAGATGTCTCTTTAATAAGCCATTTCTTTATTTTGGTCAATCTTACAGAGACAGATCTAAACACATTGAATAGAATGTTTGAATTTGAATTTGAATGTGAATTTATTAACAACAACACATCACAATAATGACAGTACATATGAACAATCATACAATGCAAAAAAATAACACTGATGCATGTACATGTATATATAACATAAGAGTAGTGTCGATTGAACAGTAATGGTTTAAATACGATATTTAGACATACATCTGCATACTATTACGTAAATATGTGTATTACTATATTTAGGTGAAGTTGTTAATGGGAACTAGAAGTTAGCACAAGTGCTAGTCGAGCCTAGTTCCAATCTTTGGCAAGATTTTTTTCTGTTAATTTGTTTATACATATGAATGTAAAACTTGTTTGTTTTGTATTTACATATATACAACAAAATAATACAGTATCATGTAACTTTTGTACATACTAAAATGAAAAAAAGAAAAAGAAAATAGTTTAAGTGTTCAGGCATTATAATGAAAGAAGACAAATCTTTGAACAAATAAAATCATCAAAGTGTTCATAAAAATGAAAAGGGTGTATTAATGAAAATAATATCATACAGATGTGCGTACATGCACAAATCCTTTAAAAGCAGCTATAATAGTATAGAAATCAGTCTATCCATGCATTAAGCATATAGAAATGAGAGAATTCAATCGTTAATGGGTTAATTCTATCGTAACTATGACAGACGCTAATTAATCCACCATACCAGATATTAATTATTTAACACTTTGATTGCTCGTTTGCCAGACATGCAATTGTGCACAAAACAATTGTGCACAAAACAATAGGCACCAATCGATGAAAGGATTGCTTTTTGCAACACAATGGCTTTGCAAAATGACAGATTTCTGGTCTTGACTATCTCCATGGTAACCATTTTAACACCTGTATAGATTAATCTTGAAATGGAAACAGTTTAATAATCTTGACACCTTTGATATACCTATCCCACAAAAAACACAATGGGGCATAGGACGTTGTTAGTGTGTGGCATATATACAGTAACGAGTTCAGCATGTACTGAAAAGCATGAAAGATACAAATTATGTACAAAACTAAAGGTACTAAATGTAAAACTTGTTATTATTTTAATATGTTGATTCTTTGAAAACGGAAAGTAAAGTTTAATTTAAAGTTCAAGTTCAATGCGTCGTGGACCATTCCTCACATATAATAATATGGAGGAGGGGGGGGGGGGGGTAAAAGTTCTTTGGTGCATGCACTCAAGCATAAACTGTTTTCCTTGTTTGAAAATAGGGGAACCAATTAGGAGCAGGGCTGGATATGAATGGTCAACTGACAACAAAATAATCAACATCAAATTTAGTAATGAAAAGAAATGCCTCCAATAAATAATTTTCTTGTCCAGTTCCGTTTATTCCACCCACCTGGGTAGGTTTTCATAGGGATTTATTTAATTTTTCACCACAGTCTCCAGAAATGTGCATAGAAATAGTTTAATATTGGAAGTTTTAAAAGGTGAGAAAAAAAACTGGCATTCAAATATTCAAACAAAGATGAGAAATCAGCATTTGTCAAAAGACCTAGTTTTTCTGGGTACTGGTACATTTCTGTTTTGCTTCAAATGTACTTTTGGCACTTTAAAAAAAATTCTCAAGCCAAAATGTAATGTTTGCTTTAAAATTTTTGATTTCTATACAAGATTGAATTGACTTGGAAACATTTGTTTCCCCTTCTGTACCTGTTCCAATTGCTATAGTATATGGTACATTAGCACTTACAAAAGCACTTCATTATCGCCCGCAAGAAGTGTGGGGGTGGGGCAGAAAGAAATGTCATTAAAGATCACTATTTGTTTTATAGATAGTATTTGGGAATGACCTATAACTTGTTGACAAATTTACAGCAACTCTCAGTCTCACACTGTTATTTGCATATATATAATGCGGGTAATCACGGGATGATCAACATTATGTAATTAGGAAAGTTTAAATTAACCATCTCACTCTCTCACTCTCTCTCTCTCTCTCTCGTTCTTTCTCTTCATTTAAGCAAAAGGATGAGGCATTACACCACATAATACGTGCAATTCATGTGTCCCCTTTGTCTCTCTTTCTCTCTCTCTCTCTCTCTCTCTCTCTCTATTGCTTTATTAAAGGTACTATGTCCCATTTGCAGGCCAAAAAAATGAAAAGGTTAAAGGTAAAGACCAGTATTGAAAATGCCCCAATTTCAAAAAATGAAATGGAAGCTCTTATTACCAATCATATAAAAAAATATGTTTTGACTAATACATGATGATAAAAATGTTGCCGGGAAACCGCCTACTAATTGATATATTTGGTAAATTAGTTT